CAAGACAACACACACACACACACACACACACACACACACACACACACACACACACACACACACACACACACACACACACACACACACACACACACACACGTGCACACACCCCTCACACACACACACACACTTCAAACGAAAGCCGCAAAACACCTCTCACTACACACCCACACTGACAGACAAACTCAGAGGCATGCACGTACATACGCCTGCACGCCTCGCACGGATGCACTTCATATTGATGTCTAGGCCATGTTCGCCTTGCTCACACTTTCAACTCTTAACCTCAATTCTGTTGCCTTTTTCTCTCAACTGGACCTCTTGACCTCATGTCCTATTTTGGCGCCTCATTGGACCTCCTCTGCGCCTGGCTCCGCTCCCGCCGTGAAAACCGCCGCCGTGAAAACCGCGTGGGTCGACTCACGAGGTCAGAGGCCCAGTTCCTGTTTCTGGCGCGCCAGGACCTCGCTGGCGGCCTGAAGCGGGAGCTGTGAGCAGGGCTGTGGTGATTCCGTCGTCGAGATGATTTCGGGGCGCTCCCCACCCTAGTGGATCACAGCTTAGCGACTATAGAGGTAAATGGATCTGGGCCAGCTACTCAAAATAGCGAGATCCAGTAGTGAACATTCCCCCCTACAACAGGGGACAACAAACAATATTCATTTCAGACCATGGAAGCTAATTGCCAAACTGGGCTGTCCAAACTGCTCCGCGCCCAAAGTGAATAACATTTAGTGGGCCAGTGGACCCCCCCCGACTAAACCAACTAAGAACAACTAAAACCAGGGCTGTGGTTGACATAGAATCCGCTTGTGTGATACAACGAAAAAGGCTTCCCAAAGCATTTTCCAACACCCCATTTTGAAGGGAGAGATTTGGTATCACAGAAGTGGGGGAGAAACCCCGAGTGATGCAACCCTGATCAGCTACGTCTGGTGAGGATCGTTGCCTGCAGCTGTCCAGTGCGATCGATCGGATGGGGTGGGCAAGAAAACTGAGCCTCCTCTCTGGAGTGGATTGCTCTTTTTGGTTTACCGCTAAAATGGTCAGCCCAAGCAACTGAAGTCCGAAACGGAACTCAGGTGCGTTAGAGGACTCGCCCAGGGTGAGATTTCCAGTTGGCCTTTTGGGGTTCTCTTTTGATAGACACCAAGACGCCCATGGGGGGATTTTTGGGGACACCAACAGTAGGACCCTCCTAGACCAAGTGACCACACCATACCGCAAACGCTTTGGTGCTCCTTCCAACAAATCCCCAAAACCTCCATGGTTTGCTTAAGAGCACAGGGACAAACACACGTATGTCCAGTAGTAAAATCGCTTCCCTTTAAAACCAGGGGAAACATACCACATATTGATTTCTTTGCAAGTGGAAGAAACGGGGAAGCCCCCCCAAAAGGACGACGACACAAAGATGCCTTTTGAGAGACTCGGCGACTCGCCATGCCTTCATATCTGCGGCAAGTTCTTGTGCACCCAGAGGATCTGCAATTTTCAGGACCTCGAAACATATTCTCAGTTGTTCAGTGACCCTCGGAAAAAAGGGAACCCTTTTTTGGGGCTCGGACCATTTTAGTGGGGCAGCCACCAACAAACAGTTGGAAAAATAATTGGAGACACTGAACAACTGAGTATTTCTGGGCTGTCCGTTGCTGATCGAGGTCGGCAACATGGGAAAACCAAGCAGACTCACTAACAATCTGAAACCACCAAAGGAACCGGACGGCCCGGTTTCTATGGGAGATCCATTGAGACACACGCGAGGCGGCTTTCATGGCACTGTTGCGGAAAGTTCCCCGAAAATCATGGCCATGGTTTCGAAATCCGTTCGCACCACGAAATGAAACCATGGTTGAAGCCATGGTTTGTGGTTGTTTACAGGGGAATGATCATTCCAGGGTTTCTGAGGTGGTGCGAAACGGATTTCGTCCATCTACAGTATGGGCCCTATGATTGTCCTTTCCAGGCACTAAACACGTAGAGCCTATACAACATGGTATAGCACGCATCACATGGACCTCTGGTGGGATAAGGGTGGGATAAGGGTTGGACAAGGGATGTTTGGAAAAGGCCATTTGTTGGCTGACCCGTCCGCGTGTTCAGCTTTGATTGCGCGCCGCGCCAATATCAAGAATCACGAGACCGTGCCACCTCGCGAATGAATGCCGAAAGCTTGTTGTTACAATGGCGTCCACGTATAAACCTTCTGGCAAAACCAAGCAGCCATTTCCAATGTGTTTTCCCTGCAGACACTCCTGCAGAGGCCTGTATGACTGCAAGAATTGTCAACGCACAGCTCGGTGCAACAAAGGCTGACCTCAGTTCTTTCAAAACCATGTCAATGAAGCCTGCGCCTCGTTGAGTTTTGCAAATGCTCTATTGCGCTATGGTCGTTTTAAACGTGTGACCGTGCAGCAAGGAGCATTCGCTTGGCCGACCAGGTAATGTCTTATTAAGCACTTAATAAGTATAGGAAAAGTCCTTGATAAGCTCTGAATAAGGCCTAAATAATTTTTAATCAGCTCATATGGATACGTCCAGGATAAGCCCTAGGATAAGCAAGGATACGCCCAAGGATAAGCCAAGGATATGCAAGGATAAGCCAAGGATAGGCCGGGATACACCAGGGATAAGCCAAGGATATGCGGAGAATATGCAAGGATAAGCCAAGGATAAGCCAAGGGTAAGCCAGGGATAAGCCAGGATAAGCCAAGGGTAAGCCAAGGATAAGCCAGGACAAGCCAAGGATAAGCCAAGGACAAGCCAAGGATATGCAAGGACAAGCCAAGGATAAGCCGGGACAAGCCAAGGATAAGCCAAGGATAAGCCAAGGATAAGCCAAGGATAAGCCAAGGATACGCCGAGGATATGCAAGGATAAGCCAAGGATAAGCCAAGGGTAAGCCAAGGGTAAGCCAGGGATAAGCCATGATAAGCCATGATAACCCAACGGGGGGCCCGATGGGCCCTTTGGGAGATTCTGGGAGTGTGAAGCCGGTAGTATTAAACATCGTATAAGGTGTTTGTGTGCTAGATGTCGTACATGTCGTAGACCCCTGGGCGGCATCTGGGGGGGGGTCTATTGGTCTTATTCACAAGCACTGGATAACACCTTGCCAATGCAGTTTAGGATAAGGCCGTAGTAAGGGCTCATCCAGGTCTCAACAAGCCCTTAGCCAGAAAAAGAAGATGCCCTTATTGAGGCCTCAATAAGGGACAAGTAAGACAGTGTGCTTATTAAGGCCTTGGGAACTCATCCCCTTATTCTTGCCTTATCCTTGGGACTTGGGTTGCGTTCAACTTTGCACTTGGGCTTGTCCTTAGCTTATCCTGGCTGATCCCGGCTTGTCCTTGGCTTATCCTCGAATATCCTTGGCTTATCTTGGCGTATCCCTGGCGTACCCTTGGGTTATCCTTGGCGTATCCTTGCATATCCTTTGCTTATCCTGGCTGATCCTTCGCTTGTGCTGGCTAGTCCTTGGTTTATCCTTGGCTTATCCTTGGCTTATCTTTGGCTTCTTCTTGCATATCCTCGGCGTATCCTTGGCTTATCCTTGGCTTATCCTTGGCTTATCCTTGGCTTATCCTTAGCTTATGCTGGCTTTTCCTTGGCTTATCCTTGGCTTGTCCTTGCATATCCTTGGCTTATCCTTGGCTTATCCTTGGCTTATCCCTGGCTTATCCTTGGCCTACCCCTCCCAAGAAAGGCAATTCGCGTGTCGCCAGGAGCGATCGGATACCTCATAACTGTCCAACCCAGAAATAGTTGGTCGCCTTTTTGGCTTCCATTGAACACCTAGCAAAAGGGAGGTCCCCTGGTCCCCTCCCTTGTGAACATTGCCAAGTTCAGTCCCAAGCTTCCCAGGCGTCCGGGTGCCGGGCACAGCGTTTCAAGTCCTGGAGACAATCTGATCGCGGGCAAAGTCACCAGATGAGTGAATGGTGACTAGAAATTGGTGGCGAGTGACTATTTGCATGTGAACTCGGATCGAAAGAGAATGCTGCTACCATTTTTCGCCCACCCCAAACGAAAGGTCAAAGATCCCAAACAGCAGAGCCAAAGGAGACCGCCCAGAAACAGCCATGAGAGCTCATGGCTGTGGGTCAAAAGCCCCGGTACCGCCAGTGAACATCCCAATCCAACCACTAAAACAGGTTCTAAAATGGGTGAATTCGCCAATCCCAACCAAAATGGGATCCCAAAACGGTTTTGACAACCACAGCCGCATCGTTGCGAGGTTTCGCTTTCACTCTTCGAACATCTGCTCCACACGGATCGCGCGTTGCGCACATGGCGCGCAGCCGGCTGCGCGTATCACAGACGCGGGGTCCTCCCAGAATAAGAAGGCCATGGCCAGGTCCTGGCGTGTCAGAGCTGGCAGAAGGCCCCCATTCCGCCATTTTGCAGTAGAGTCTCAATGACCCCTACCCCTTAATTTTGGGTAACCCCATTGTAAGTTAAGGGGTCATGGAGACTCTAACTCCCAAGGAAAGAAGAAGCATACTGTGGATGGTTTCCTTTAAACACCAACAAACAATGGTGTCCCATGGTTTTAAAGTGGTGCAGGATTTTGTCCATCCACAGTATTTCCAGTAGTGATAGATTCCCTTAAGAATCAGGGGAACATAAAACACCTTCATTTCAGCACGTGAACGCATTCCTTCGGTGCTTTGCGCACACCGTTCCATGCTGCTACCCGGCTTGGCCAATATGTGAGCTGCCTCCCAGCAGAATAAACAAATAGACACACGCTTAGAGTCTACGTGCCCGGGGATGCTTTCCCAAACAAAACCTGCACCCAAAAGCAACCTTGGGCAGCTGCTTTTTGACGGACCCTGTGGCTTGGCGCTCTCTTCCTTTGACCCAATTGCCAGGTCTTTCGCCTGGCTGCCTATAACCGGACGTGGCTTATTTGAAGCATCCCCACAAAGCGAGGGGTGGGACTCGAGTCTGTGGGGACACAAAATTGACTGGGGACTTGTGTCCTACTTAGCTTCGAACTCCGAATCGCAGCCCAATCTCCCGCAGAATCAGGATCTAAAGTGGTCGGTGTTGGCTTCCCTTCAACCCAAACTGGGCTGCACAAATTTTCTGATCCGCAAAAAGTGACGAAGTTTCGGTGGGTTGAATGGACACCCTCGAATTGCACTGAAGCCATTTAAAAACCTCCCACCAAGACATGTGGTTGGTGTTTCTCCCTCTGCAAAAGGTTTAGCTTTTTGTGGGACCCCGCACCAATTTCTTTCCCCAACAGTTGGCTTCCCGGCCCTTCAATGTTGACCCCATTAATCAGCCCCAGGTTATTCACAGGGGTGTAGCTGAGTTTCGCGAAGAATCAGGCCACTTTTGGAGGGGCCAACCCCCCCCCCCCCCCTGTAACACACTGGGGTAAACAAACATGGGGTCAACATGCACCTTCCCAGCTTTCAAATTTCTGTTCGGTTGCATCCGCCTCTTGGCTTTCCTTTCACACGTTGGCATCATGTTGGCTCTTCGACATCCATGCGGGCCCCATCCCCCGAATTTGAAACACTGGTTGGTTGATAAAGATCTCGGGACATTAGTTGAGAGCCCTAGTTGGTTCCTTGGAGGTCCCTAGTAATCAGGCTTCCTTAAAAGCCCTTAGTGAGGGAACACATTAACCAAAGAGGCGGCCTTCGGCCTTCGGATTGGATCCATCTCTCAGATTCGCCTCTCATTCGCATCATTCGCCTCATTCGCCTCGCGCCTCCAGAGGCTGTGAGCAGCACGGGAAGCGAGCAGTAAGCTCTCGGGGAAAGGACTTGGCCTCGCCCTTGTACTTCAAAAAGAAGAGGCACCTCACGCGAAGAGCGAAAATCCCTGAACGGGACTCCCCGGGAATGAACCCCAAAAAGTCCCTCGGTTTCGGGGATTCCTTTTAAAGGAAACCGCAAAGGAAACGAAGAGACCCCTGGGACATTTCAACTTGCAACCCTTGGTTTCAAAAGAAGCTACAGAGCACTTCCTGGGTAGTGAACCCATGGGACATTTCGGAAACACAATCCAAGGGTAGCAAGTGTTTGGGAGTTCGGTACATTACCCTTGTTCTCTTTTTTCTATATGAGACATTTATTTGCGGGGCTGCCTGGATTTCCCAATTTGATGGTTTTCCTTGACCCCCGTTTCAAAAAAAGCTACACCCACTTCCTGGGTAGATTGGCGAAAACCTGAAGCATTTAGGAACTTTTTGCTTACCACCAAAGTGGTCAAGCCCACAAAGTGACTAAAGTCGAGAAACTAAGGAAGTGAGACGCGGGATGGGCGAGGTCAGGGAACAAAGAGACCCATGCGATTTTTCCCTAATCCACTTGATGGTGGTTTCCCTTGAAACGAGCGCTACTTTTGGAGGCTCCAAAAAGGGGAATGGAGAACACCCTGCCAGGTTCATCTATTTATCTGTTTCAAAAGAAAAAAACACTACAACCCACTTCCTGGGTAGATTGGCGGAAACACGGCTAAACTTTTTGTTTGCCGCCAAAGTGGTTCAAGCCCAAAAAGCAGACCCAGTCTACTTGAGTGCTCTCAGTAGGAAATAAGAGAATGAGATTCCTTGAAGTCATAAATCAACACCTCCGGGAATGGGCAAGCTTGATTGGGAATGGTTTTAATGAATGGCATGGGTTGGTGGCTGTTCTCAAAACAACATGACAAGGGTGCTGGATTCCCAGTGTCCGTTGGTCATGCCATGTAACATTCGGTTGTCAAATCCACACCGCCAAGGCCGAACTTTGGGCCTCATAACCTCTTCCAGCCCTCTCCAGCTGCGTTTTCTCATTTCCCAAACCAAAAACTGGAGGATTGGCTCTGAGAAAAAAGCAACGCTGACACGTGCCACAAAGCAAACACACGGATTTCCGGTAGAACTTTGTGTAGCTGGTTTCTTAGAGCGCTATATCCTGTTGATCTGAATCTGATGAGAATCAGGTGCCATCAAGAATCTGACTCGAGGCGATCCGAACTGTGACCGCTTGGCTGCTGTTTTGTGCCGCACCCAAACAGAAGAAGCCCAGGCATAGGTGTCCTGCTGGTAAAATAGCTGGGTTTCCCTGGTAAACGGATGGCATAACAAATAAATAAATCTGAACCAGTGGATTTCCATCTATTTCTAGCCAAACTATCCGAACACGAGGCCTACTGTGGATGGACAAAATCCTGCACCACCTAAGAAACCCTGGAATGCTCATTTTTTGTAAATAGCAACAAACCATGGCTTCGTCCATCCACAGTATGAGCCCAGGTGGTTACCCCTCTTTGCACCCGAAACCCAGAACCCCAAAATGGATCCCCTCCAAACTTCCCCAGAAGGTCCAAACATGTGTGCCAGGCCGCACGATGCCCATGCATGCCCGCGGCAGCATAAAGGTCCTCAGAGGACCGGGATGGAGGAACCAAAGGCTCGTTCCCACACCAGGGATCTGGATGCATTTTTCACCTGAACATTGCCCTGTAAATGGTGGTTCCCTTTCTTTTGGTGGAAAAAGCCATGTTCCAAATGGTCCGATTTTTGATTGAAGCAAACCACCATCGGCAACCAGGTGTGAAATCATTGTATAGGTTTGCTGTTGAGTTGCCGGTTCCATATCTCGATTGAATTCTACAGTTGATTTTTTGTTGGGGCGGAGTGCCCTAAAAAAGACATACGCATTTGGGTGATGCAATGGAAAAATAGAGGGAACGGACAAACGAGCTCTTTTGAATGCACGCAAAGGTGTCCGCGTGCTGGCACGCGGACTCAGCGTTTCCTGTTGCAGCCTGATGCAATTGGTTTTTCCAGCTGGTCTCACTTCCCGAGTGGATGGCTCAAGAAAATTCCAAACTTTTCACTTGCCACCAAAATGGCCCAAACCCCCAAAGTGACTAAAGTCCATGAACTCAGGGAGTGAGTGGCATTTTGGCCCTACTGGTCCTGTGGATGGTGACGCGAAATCACATTTCGCACCACCAGTGAGAAACCCTGGTTTCGCAGGATTCCCCAACGTAAATACTGTAACACATGTTCTGGCTTCTTTCCCATGGTTTCATTACGTGGTGCGGTGCCGGATTTCGCAACCATGCAGAGTATGACTCGCTAAATCAACCGGCCTTTCCATAAGATTCCACGCAGCTTCCGCCACGGCAAGTACCAACAAACAAGTCGTGCGCACGAATTTTGTCCATCCACCTGGGTCCTCCAGTAGACAGGTTAGAATAAGGCTACCAACTTTTTTCTGTAGTCTATTTTAGTAGGGGAACCGGGAACCGAATCTCCCAACCAAAAAAGTTCGAAAAGTTGGGAGAGGCTCGGGCACCAAGCTGGGGCACCAAGCTGGGGGACCTAGCCACAGCGAAAACGGGCTCCCCAACCGTGGCGCCCCAACCGTGGCGTTTTTTTTTCTCGCCGGGGCGCGGCAGCACTCCGTGGCTCTCGCCCTCCTCACCAGGAGCCGACGCACACAGCAAGCCTCAAAGGCCGAAGAAGTCGCAGCTTCCGACGGGAGCGAAGCCGGGGAAAGGTGGGGGAGGGGGGAGGGGGGAGGGGAGGGGAGTTACACGTTTCTGGAGCGGGGTTTAATGGGAAACAAACGGAAACTATAAGCATTGAAACGGGGACCCCTTTGAGAAACACCAAATTTGACAGTTTGCAAACGCCCGGCATATTGTACCTGAGGGGGGGGGGATATTGCAAAAGGGAGGCATACTGTGGGATACATGGGCGACCCGAACGATACCCGACAGGTTTCTTTTCCCCCAAGATCAGTGAATGTTTTTCGGAGCCCTCAATGCCAAAGCTCCAGAGAAAAAGGGGTCTGCCCCCGAAGCGGCAACCAGCTTCCATTTGCGCAAGTTCGGGGAAAATAACACTTTTGTAGGGGTTGACCCCCGATTCTTTTCAACCATCGTTCTTTTCACAAAACAGCCGCTTTCTCTGAATTTCCGGAGGTTTTCTAGAAAGAAGGATCCCTGGAAAGAATGGAACTACTTCCAGCTGTTCTAGATTCCCTTTCGTTTCATCAACTGGAAATGAGAAGACACCAGACTGTTGGATACCCAAAGCAACGTCCCTGAAAAAAAGGAATGGCCCTGAAAAGTACACCTTATGTAGGTCCTAAGATGTCCTAAGATGCCCAATACATCAAATCCCGCTGTCTAAAGGACGCTTGCATGGGAACCCCAGCGTGTGTCCCCGCTGAGCGCCAAGCACTGCACACTGTTCGGCTGGGAAGACGGTTGCCGTTGCGCCGCTTGAAGCGTCAAACACGGCACAAGACGAAAGGCCATGGAAGGAGCCCTAAAGACAAACCATGCCTGAAAGTTCCTCTCAGCCTGAAAGGTGTACTTGTCAACACGATGCCATGAGAGTCTGCCTGTTCAATGGGGAAACAGGTGGCCAAAGGTTGAATGACCTGATGAACGCTAGCGGAGGTCACGGAACCTCGAGAACAGAGCATAAGACTATCTCAAGCTTGGTCTCTACTTTCAGGTACCTTTTGACTTTAACCTCGCGACCTGTGTCTCTTTTTGAGGATACCATTTTGGTGGAGACCACAGGACAACCGAAGCTCCTAAAAGGCACACCCACCTCAACCTCAAGGACAAACGATGCGCCGATCAGGTTGGCACCGTGCCAGAGCATGTGTTCCACTTCTCGTGGGGAATGGCTGGTGTGGAAGATAGCAAAGTCACCCATGACACATGGGTGCGTCTTTTGTACGGGACCCACCAAAATGGTGGTTTTCCCTTGGTTTCTCCCTTAAAAACCAGCCAAAATGTTGGGCACCCTCAAAAAGACGCACTCATATCGATGAATTCTATGTGTGCCGCACAGAATACTCGTTGGAGCCCCTTGCCCTTGAAGGAGCAGTACAGGCGTCCGCTCGGAGGAATCTGTGGGCTTCTTTTTCAAGGTACGGATGGGCTTAAAATTCGGTACCCTTCCACCGACTAACGTGGGTTTGTGCACAGACCACTGTAGAAGGACTACTTTCCTCTTGGAAAGGGGCTTTGTGCACTTCCATGTTAGTTGGTGGGTGTGTAAACTACGTATCGAATGAAGAGGGCGGCCGCACCCACTTCTGAATGCTGGATCCGGGAATCGGCGAGCGGCCCTGGACCCAAACTATTCCAACAACCTGGCAACATTTGGGAACCGAACAGCTAAGTCTCAGATTGGACACTCCAAAGTGGTGTGCAAAAAAACCCTTGGCTTCCATTTGGTTAAGGCCCCAGGAAACAATATAAATATATTTCCAGTGATGAATTCTTTTGAACACCAACAAGGAAAAAACAATATGTCCAGTAGTGAAATCGATGCCCTTTGAAAACCAACAAGGATAATAAAACATATTCATTTCAGCAAATGGAGCTCTTGCTATCAAGGAGCTGCTTGGAAGCAGACGGACACGGTGAAGATTTCGCAGAAGCACCGACACCAAGGATGCCTCTGTCAAATGTCGCAAGGCGCGTTTGACCTGAGCGGAGCAACGGAAGAAGTGGACAATGGGGCGACCCAAACAAATTGGGCCCCATGTGTGGTACACGGAAAATATTGTTTGTTGACTCTGTTCATATTTAGTCTACTTAGTCTACCCCGAAATAGACTGCAGGAGACCGATTTTCGGAACCTGACAAGAAAGTTCGTCAAGGGGTTGTGTTTGCAGCCCCTCCGGATCTACCGATTTCTGTTTTCACCAGCCAAAGGGGCACGGTTTCATCTAACATGTTGTCTAACATCTTGGCGCAGGTCCCAGAGTTCTGGGCGCAAATCCCACGTGAGTCAAATTCTCACTTCCGATCGAGCGGATCCAAAGTATCCGAACTTTTTGCTTGCCAAAATGGCAACCAAACTCCAAATCAAGCAAAATCCTGCAAAACCATGCAAAAATCATGCAAAACACATGCCATGCCAAAAAACCATGCAAAATCATGCCATGCCCAAAGGTATCAAGTCCAGGAACTCGGAAAGTGAGAATTCAGCACCGTGTTATAAAGCAGTCTGCCCAAAACAGCTTGGGCCTTTCGAAGCCAACGCTGCGTACATTTTCGACTTGAGGTGCGTAAAAAGCGGGGAACTCAGAGCCTTTCCAGGATTTTTCTGTGGACCCGAGGTGAACACATACATCCAGAATGGAACCATGCTGGAAACCATAATGTTTTGTTGGTGTCTACGTTGGGGAATCGAATCATTCCAAGGTTTCCGAACGGAGCGAAATAACCATCGCATGGAAAAGGCCAAGGGCTTGTGTTCCCATTATTGAGAGTTGCGGCAGGAGTTGCACAGGTTCCTATGGGCACATGCCACCGAATCTCCTTAAGGGAACTGACACGATAGGGTCAACCAATCACTTGCTGCTTGAGTTTGGCACAGAAAGAAACCCACACCTGTTGTTTGCCACAGTATTCCAAGCCAAGTACCAAGTCCAGGAATTCAGGAAGTGAGCAGTACTTACCATGCAAGACTAAGAGCGCTCCTCCACACCTGAGATGGGCTGGCAGCTTAGCCTACATGGGGGGTTCGCAGAAAATCATATTTTCAGATTCTCCGCATATTTCACCTGAGGTCCGCCCTAAAACACGAAACTTTTACGGGGAAACTTCACCCATTCTACTCCACCCCCAAAAAGACCAGGTCGTTTTGGAGGAACACCCCAGTAATGGAGATCCAGTTTGTCCTGCTACAACATTATGTTAAACACTTGTAGGGAACTTTGTGTTGTTACTTGTATAAGTTCATAGAGCATTGATCGAGAATCAATGTTGATCGGATAATCGTTGATTAGACTTATCAGAATCCAATTGACTTAATCTTATTGAGTATACACCAATACGATATATATATATATATATGTATCAATAATTCATATCGTATTTTATAAGCCAATTGATTCAGAATCAACGCGCCCGAGGCCCCGCGCCAAGCGCACGAGGGAGTGGAAGGCGGCGAGGTCGAAGTCCACGTCGGCGTTCCACATGCCGCTCTTCAGCTTCATGGGCACCTGAAAACAAATGAGGTGTTTTGAGGGGGGGGGGGGGGGCCTGTTTTGGGGGGGAGGGTTGGGGGGGGTGGTTGTTTTGGGAAAAGGGGAAGGGGGGGAGGGTTGGGAGGGTAGGGGAGGGTGGGGAGGGAGGGTGTATGGGGGGTGGGTGTAGAGGTGAAGAGGGGTTGTTAAGGGGGGGTGACTCAAACTTTTCCGTTTGCAGTTGTTGGACAGTACCAAGGGGTTTTGGAACATGGGGAAAAGCAGTTGCTAGGGGGTGCGGGACCGTTGGTGGTTTACAGGAAAGCCAAAACGACAACTTGCTAGGGGGGTCAAGACCTGGGCCGGGAACCCCTGGGCTCAAGTCTTTCCAACTGAACCACCTGGGGTACCCCGCAGCTTTGAAGGAACAAAGGCACTCTCTAGGGCTGGGCTTAAGTCTACCTTCATTTCAAATGAACCGGCTGTATCATCGCTTGTCTTCCTACCCTTGATTCTTGCAAACGCGCGCCCCAGCTCAGACGATGTGGCCCAGCTGCTCGGAAAAGCCGCATGGGCGTCGGCCGCAAAACGGTCTTGAAGAGGATATCAGACTTGCTGTCCCAACAAGACTGGGCTGTCCCCAGATCCCTTGCTTTTCGTGGGGAAAATTCGGAACCCCCCCCCCAATAAACCAACTAAAAAGATCTAAAAACCTAAGGAACCGGATGGCTGGGAGCCAAGACTCAGTCAACCCGCTCAGATACCAGAGCTTCAGCAGTCCGATTGCCAGCATGCGCCAGTTGCAGCCCAAACGACTTCTCATCTGAAGAAACACTCATTCTGTCAGTTCCCGTGTCACAGCACATCCAAGAAGCCACTGGGAAAACCATGACCTTGGAGGCACAACTCCCTTTACGTGGGCAAGTAAAGGGGATGACTGATCTCAAATGGGGGGGGGGGGTTGAATTTCGCCATCCACTTTCGCTAGAATGTATTTGCGGCTCTGTCCTGGCGTTTCTTCAACGAGGGAAGGCCCCAAGTGGCAAGGGTTTCCGTTTCGTTTCCCTTCAACACCAACCAAGAGGCGTCTCCCGCTCCCCCCAAAAACACAATCCCCTCCCCTCTCCCCCTCCCCCCCTACCGCCCTCCCCAACTACAAAAACAAAACACAAGAACAAACCAACCGCCCCCAACGGCTTGCTCCAGCCGCAGTCACAACCGGGGCCCCGCGCAAGGGACATGACCCGAGAGAGCAGCAGCAAGCTCTTGGTGTGGGGGTCCACCGGGGCTTTGGGATACTTCACCTCCAGCTGGGCTTTGGGTCATTTGGCTGTGGCTCAAAAAACCGGCACCAAAACTTTTGGAACCCTGGTAAGTGAAAATGGATCAAAACTTGCGGTTTGCTCCTCCTGTTTAATTTTGAGCCACACCCATTTGGTGATTTGGTGGGGAAATCAGACACCAGCTTTTGGTGGGGAAACAACTTGTTGTTCTTTTGCTTTTTCTTTTCTTTTATTAATTTCATGTTTGGACCGGAACCAAAAGTAAACTTGCGATCGCTGCGAAATGGTGTTCTTTTTCTGACCCGCTGGATTGGACTGGCTTTATATTTTCTTGGAGTTTCAAAGGCCTCCAGTTGTCAATACTCTCCATTTCTTGCTGGTGCGAGAGATGCAGGGGCCCTAAGAAATGGCTCATGACTCCAAAAAAACCATCCCACTGTCGATTTCCTTTCTATTCGGGAATTCCTGAGCACCAGCAAGTTGCTTTTCTCCCCTGTTGGATTTGACTGGCCAAAACAATGTTTCAACTTTTTGGTCCTTAGCTAAGACTTTCAGACGAAAACACCCACCAGCAACTTTAAGATGAAGACACCTACCAGCGACACTTTATAGTTTGCCACAGGCAAGTTTTGTTAGGGACCCCCAAAAGGATGGCTTTCCTTTTTGGTTTCAACACACATTACCCCAAAAACGTTGCCAAAACATGCTCTTTGGGAGTGTACGCTTTGCAGCTGAGCGGCGCCCAAAAAATATTGGCAGTGAAACAAGAACTAGCTACTAAAATGGCCAATGGAAATCGGTTTTCTGCGCCGCTTCAGGAACAGTGCCCTAATGAGCTATTGGTGGAAGATAAGCAGGTGTGATTTTTCTGAGGGTACCCCTGTGGTGGCTTTGAAAGGGAAACCACAAACAGCGAAGCCATTTTGGGGGACAAGAACCTCCGACTACTCCCAAAATCCTTTCTTGAGTACTTGAAAAACCTGGATTTCCCGTAAGTACCTTCTTTCTAGTAAAGTGTGCACATCATACTCTGCAAACAAGATGGGTCTTGCGTGTGACTGGCTTGCTTTTGGGTTCCTTCCAAGCGCCTTCCAAGGGGGGTCCCGAACCCAAGTTCTACTGACACAGGGCTCCTTGTGTGGTGGCTTGAAACAGTCACTGCTTGCAACAATCCCCTTAGTGTACTAGCGCACGATGTCAACACCTGACTTGGGGAGGTATTTGCTATGGGGAAGAGTTTGTTCTCAACATACTGCGGATGGACGAAATGCATTTCCCACCACCGTTGAGCTTCAGAGGATTCCCCTGTAAATACCAACAAACACAATGTTTCAGCCATGGTGCCGGATTTTGCAAGCACAGTATGCCCCAGCAGCCCCAGATTTTGTACTCGCGCCGCGCCGAAAACTCCCTCGCCCCGAAATCCCCACGCCCCGCACCCCACGCCTGCTCTGGAAACGGCCTCTCAGCAGCCTCGAACCTGAGAACATGGTACGGCGCATAGCACCCTGGCCGGACTAGACACACGTACATGATGCGTTACATTACATTACATTGCCTTGCATTGCATACATACATTACATACATATAACTATACATATACAGTTATACATGGATATATGTATACAACATGTATATATATATATATATGTGGGTTTGTCGTTTTGTGGACACCCTCTTTGGGTTGGCTTTAAAGGGAGAGGGGGTGGGTAGTTGAGAGTCCTAGGGTTCCTTAGGGTTTTTTAGGAGCCTTGGAGAACCCTCCTTGGACCACCCCCCCTTCATAATATACCAGCATCCCCTCAACCTAAACCAACCCCTCCGTTTGCAGTAGAGTCCCCAGGAAAAGATAAACATACACTCGTGATCGATCTCCTTTGAACCAGGGGAGACAAAGACATATTCATCTCAGCAACTGGAAGTAAACCAACCCCGAAACCTCAACAGATCCGGATGCATTGTACACCTGACCATTGCAACTTGTAAATGGAGGTTTCCCTTTATGGTGTTGAAAAAGCAACATGTTCAAATGGTTGCAACATGTATCTTGTAAGGAGCCTTAAACCTCAACCAAGCGGATTGGTTTATGCGGATTCCGGGCGGCGGGTCTCCGCTGAGGATGCCGAACTTCATCATCTCCAAGGCGACGAGGCACGGCTCCTGGTGAAACGGGGAGAACCGGACTGGGCTTTGACATTTTTCTCACATGATGGTTTGCCGCGATTAACCACGGCACCTAAAGGAAGGCTTCGCCCGAAAAGCGGTTGATGGCACTGGGTGTCTGGGTCAGGATATGCTGTCTGGCGAAAAAAGGAGGCACGAAAACCAGGTTCAAGACATATACCCTGAACAACTGAACCACAATTTGGGGTATCTGGAGTAGGGGTGTTTTCTTGGAACAAACAATTAACCGCATCCCGAATGTTTTTTTCTTACCTGTTTTCTTGCCTGGCATCTTCGTGAGAGCTTGTGCCCTTGTACTCGGACGGCCCAGCTAGTTGTACCCACATGGTCAGAACCTCACCCTAGAGCCAGACAGCTCTCGGATGTGGCTATGAACTTTAGTTCGGGACCCGATTGGAATAGGTCGAGAGACATGTTTAAGCATGTGGCAGTAGATTGTACTTGGGGACCCCTGCAGCATTGGGATGGGGTCGACACCAAGTTTGGAGTTTGGAGCCCAATAGCGGCCAGGTTTGGTCCCCCTCGCCTCATAGCCTTCTCCAAAGAACCACTTTGCCTTTCTTTCTTTCCCACCGATAGGCCTAGGCGATCGGATTTCGAAAGGGTTCCGGCGCATTCTCGGGCTGTTGGGGATATCACCTGACCAGAATTCTTTATTTCTGAAAGACTGGTTTTCGGTGAAGACCTCCTGCTTTCCTACGCAAGGTCTTGGGTGTCCTGAAGCTGCCACGGGGAATCTTTGAGCACGTCCCCCAGCACCTCAGCTCGAGCTCGAAACCGACTTGCGCCAAAAACCGGGCCCCCAAGGGATGCCCCCGAAATTGGGCACGGATCCGACTCGACCAAACTGCCGGGAGCTTGAGAGTGGGGATCCGTGGGAGCGCCTTTCCATTTTGCACAAACCAGGCTCAACTGGAATTAGAACCCCAGCAAACATATATATTATATACATATGTATTTTTGCCTGGTTAGTGGAAAACAAACAACCCCCCCAAAAAAAGCAAAAAAGCAAAAGGAGCTAATTCTGGGGAAGCAGAGAGGTGAATGGGGCCAATGATTTCAGGGATACCAGATACTTTTTCGAGACAGTGGCAAAGGCGACGCCGAAAACGCGTGTCAGAAGGAAACACCAGGACCCGGGTCCCAACCAGGGTACCCAGAAGGGCCCCCACCCCTCCCCCCCCGCAACCACTGCTTGTTGGTTCCCGTAGGAGGACTTTGGAAGAAAACTGCGGTTTTGCAGGGTGGCCCATGCTCTTTTCTAGGTCGTCCAGTAGAGAGGTTAGAATATGGGTACCACCTTTTTTCTGTAGTTGATTTTAGTAGGGGAACCCTCCCCCAAAAAAGTTGGTCAAAGGGCACTACTGGGGGACCTAGTTTTGGTTTTGGATGAACTATGGGCTATTTGGCACGATTCCAGGTCCATATCCCTGATCCACTCCCTCTAGGTCGGCAAATCCAAATGAGCCACGGTCTAGATATGCAGTCCCTGCACAGGACCATGGTACATTCAGAACTCGTCCCCCAATGTTAGTCTCACATCAACCGTTGACTGCGGCAACAAACCTCAGATGCTCCAGGTCGCAACTCCTTCTATATATCATGGCCATGGTTCCCTCAAATTTGTATGGTCTGATTTCCCTGGTGAAGGTGCCCATGACCATGCATAACACCGCAAAGTAAAGACAGAACCGTCTCTCCTCGAGGCAAGTGGTCACTCAGCCGGGCGCAGTCATGCCTCCGTCGTCGGCAATAAGGCCCAAGTGCTCTAAAAGCATGAAGTGCACGATGGCCGACACAGCCTGCAATTCTGCCAGACCGTCAGAAAGTCCTCAAAGGACCTTTTTGCGTGAGCACGCTTCCAACACGGCAAGCTCCGGTTGCCTTAAGGGAAGCCGGACACCCCTTATCGCCTTTGATTCAGGGCTGAAGTGAAAAACACTGCATCGCACATGGGCCATCTAGGCATAACAAATGTTGTCATTGCGATGACTCTGGAGAAATGGGGTTTGTCTTGCAAGGGAATAACTGAACAGTGAGACTTGAGCTATTTTCCCCTGCTTGGAGTTCGGCCAACGTAGTGAGTGGTAACTCATGTCAGAACCTGCGTACTTCTGGGTGAGTAGGTTATAGCCAAGGCTACTACCCTAAGGGTCATGACGCCACCAATGCAGACCCCTGGACCCTCCGATGGAGAACCGACCCGACCCACCCTCAAAAACAACCCATTTTAAGGCCCCCAAATCAATTTCTGGACCCTTTGGGTAAGCACTTTCTAACCTGGCCGGACACCCAAGTACACAAATTAAGGCAGGCGGACCCCCTAAAATCGAGACATTTTGCCCTGACAAGCCTTCGCAACCTGTCGGAACTTCTGCCCTTGTCCAACCCCGAACATATGTTGGCCTTTAGTAAAGGCCCCAAAAAACGTGTCCCTCGTCAAATCAAGGGCTCCGCAAGGGGCTACATCGGAGCGTCTCTCTCTTTTTGGAGTGCGTACCCATATTTTTTTGGGCTTTCCAACAAGAACACCGATGCCATGTGTGTAAAATGGAATGGACACATCCACATGCTTTCCGGATGCTTGGATCTTCCTTTGCATTTTGCAGGTTCAAGCCTCCCCCCCCCCGCGCTTGAAATCGTTGAACTCCAAACCTAGGACTCCTACATACCCCCCACTCCAAATACTAACTTGTTTGCTTTTTGTTTGGAAGGGCTGGTTTTTCCAGGGTAAAAATACCATTGGTTTCAGAAAAGGCTGGTTCGAATATGGGTACCAACTTTTTTTCTGTAGTCTATTTTAGTAGGGGAACCCTCCCCCCCCAAAAAGGGTAAAAGGGCACCTTGCTGGGGGACCTAGTTGAGTCACAATCAAAACCTGGTACACAAATGGTGAACCCAGAACCATGCAAAGAATTAGAAAGGCGGCTGCAACTATTTCCGGCTGGGTCTTTCCCTTACTACCCTTCGTCTACCCAGGTGTTGATTGTGGTTCAGTTGTTCATCACAGCAAAACTGCTTCATGCCCGAAATCGTCCCCGCCTTGGTGTCGTTGCCTCGGCCGGCCTCCTGGGAATCGCTCCGGAGGTTGCGAATCAAAGGGCCGTCGGTGAGGAACTCGTTGGCATGCCACGCCTCGGTTTCGGCCCCTTCAAACCGGTGGCCACCCGGAAAAAAAGACACCCAGACCTCGGTGGCCATGACATGCGCTTCAAGGGAAACTACATGTAACACCAACTTTTTAGGGGTGTCCCTGATTTTCCTCCGGGGAAAGGATGTTTTTTCCCCCGTCCGGCAGAGACCTCACTTTGACCGAGCCTCTCAATGGCCGAAGGCTACTTGGGTGCTCGATTCGCGAAGTGAACGTGAGCGGTTCGCAACCGTTCGGGTTTAAATCTGCTTACCGGCCCAACTCACGAGTAGATTGTACCCCAGGCGATCACCACGAACTTGGGTCCGAGGACTTTTGGTGTGCCAACCTCAAGCTTGCAAGGGTCCTTGGAGGTACTCTGCCCCCTCCCCAGGAATCCCTTGGAAGAACTGCCAAGTGCTTCGTCCATGGTAAATGTGGCTTGTACGGGTAAATCATACCGGGACTTAGTCAACAGGAGTCTGAACTGAGTTGGCCAATGGCCAAGTAAGGCTCCTTTTGGGCGTGTCTCGTTTTGACGCTCACCCCCCACCGTCCTAAGGATAACAACCGCCATGCTTTTTGGGGCCCAAAAGCTTCGGAATCAAACACCGGACCTCCAGCAAGGGGCACTTCGGGAGTGAACGGATGGATTATCTCGAGCTCTCAACATGGATGGCTTGTTGCCTTGGTCACCGGGTAAATGGCCATGGGTCAGAATCCCGTACTTTCAGTGAACATCCCAAACCCCACTGAAACTTGCTAAACTGGGTGGTGCACCATTGGTTTCTACCCACAGCCAAATGATTCTGATCAGATCCTCATGATTCGTGGAACGATTACTCACTTGAGTCATGATCAAAACCCGGTATCAAAATGGTCTACCCAAAACCGTGTAAATAATTCAGGCGGATTTCCGCAGCTACTTTGGGAGTATCCCTTGCTAACCTTCATGAATCCCCGGGCTTTGAGCAAGTGGCTCACTTCCGAAGTGTCGGAACCTCGGGGAGTGAGCTTCACCCCGAGCCCTTGCTTGCGGATTACTTAACGCACCCGATCTTGGTGGCTACGTATTGCTCCCGGCGAAAACTGAACCTTTTGTGGGTGGAGTGGGAACAACACATTTCCCAAAAAGTGAAAGCTCAACAATCCAAGCAAGCCTCCGTACCCTCTTTTGGGGTTCGTTACCAAAAGCAACACCGCCATTTTGCGGCCCCCGAGTCTAATGCACACCTCGTTTCTGCACCAGCGATCCTGTCGGAATCCGGTGGACCACTCCTAGGTCCTCCAGTAGAGAGGTTAGAGGTAAGGGTACCAACTTTTTTCCGTAGAACCCTCCCAACCAAAAAGTTGGTGAGAGAAGGGCACCAAGCTGGGGGACCTAGACTCCAAACCCTTGGTGCCATCCATCACAGCCAAAGGCGCCAAGCAGAACTTGAAGTCCACCTGGCGGATTCGTCAACGTCCAGACTACGAAACATGCACAACAAGTATCTTCAGCCCCCCCCACAAAACGGAAAACAAAAAAACAAAAAAAAACAAACAAACAAACAAGGACATTTTAACACAACATTAAAAAACAAAAGAAACAACAAATCAAACCAAACTAATTGGTGAAGAATCAGAAGGGTGTCAAATACACAGGTTGGGGAAAGTTGTAGAAGCCATCTCTCTATTGCGCCGAGGGTTGGTGCCACATTCACTGCATCCATCCTTCTCATACTTCTCATCGGCCAGTCCGAAAGCACGGATACCACGGGGAAGGTCCATGTTGGAACTCTTCTAGGGGTACACTCCATTTCCATTCTTTCCCGGGATCCTTCTTTTCAGGAAACCATGAAAATCCCAGGGAAAACAGCTGGTTTTTGAAAAGAACGATGGTTTAAAATAATGGGGAATCAACCCCTAGAACTATTGACAACCTCACTTTGAGACATATGGTTGTGGGTCAAAAGTAGGGTAACCCCAAAATGGCTTGCCCTTATAAGTGGCAACATGGACCAAAACCCGCGGTCCCCTGGTGGTTTCATTTTGCCGCACACCCATATCCGCCGACCCCTTGTCCGCAAGGGCGAGGCGCACGGGAAGGGTGGTTGATAGAAAATACAGAGCTGCAAGCGGAAATGGAAATGAGGACAATGCATTATCATTAGTGGACATGATTATCATGATGACTGTTGGTGATGTTGAGGATGCGCTGGCATATGAGCATAACCGAAGCTTCATCCTCATAAGGTAATCATCATTATCATCATCATCATTATCATCCTCATCATGTTCATCAGTTGAGGCGTGCTGTTCCTGACAGTGCCAGATGAGGGCGAAAGGCGAGGTGTTGGTGATGCTGAGGATGCGCTGGCATATGAGCATAACCGAAGCTTCATCCTCATAAGGTTACATCATTACCATCCTCATCATCATCATCCTCATCATGTTCATCATCATCCTCGTGATTATCATCATGGTAATCCTACCTAGTTTGAGCCTGCCAGTAGCTTGTCTGGTCGTCTCATCATCATCATCATCATCATCATAATCATCATCATCTTCATCCTCTTCCTTATCTTTATCATCGTCCTCATCTCAACCTTGACAAACTTGCAATTTTGTCAGGGTAGTCTGCGCGGCCTAATGGACAACCCATTTGCAGAAGAAAAACATTAACTGCCCCTGACACCATGGTTCTGAATTTGTCTACAAGCATATGACTACTGGCAGGATCAACTAAAGTTGTCCATCACGCGGATGCTTAGCAAAAGATGCGTGGACATGATCATCATGATGACTGCTGGAGATGCAAAAGCTGCGTGGACATGATTATCATGAGGATTGCTGGTTATCATCTTCTATAGTGTATATGAGGTATATAGTCTAATGAGGTAATAAGGATTGCTGGTTATCATCTTCTATCTTCTATATATATTATCATCCTCATCATGTTCATCAGTTGAGGCGTGCTGTTCCTGACAGTGCCAGATGAGGGCGAAAGGCGAGGTGTTGGTGATGCTGAGGATGCGCTGGCATATGAGCATAACCGAAGCTTCATCCTCATAAGGTTACATCATTACCATCCTCATCATCATCATCCTCATCATGTTCATCATCATCCTCGTGATTATCATCATGGTAGTCCTACCTAGTTTGAGCCTGCCAGTAGCTTGTCTGGTCGTCTCATCATCATCATCATCATCATCATAATCATCATCATCTTCATCATCTTCCTTATCTTTATCATCGTCCTCATCTCAACCTTGACAAACTTGCAATTTTGTCAGGTGGCAGGATCAACTAAAGTTGTCCATCACGCGGATGCTTAGCAAAAGATGCGTGGACATGATCATCATGATGACTGCTGGAGATGCAAAAGCTGCGTGGACATGATTATCATGAGGATTGCTGGTTATCATCTTCTATAGTGTATATGAGGTATATAGTCTAATGAGGTAATAAGGATTGCTGGTTATCATCTTCTATCTTCTATCTTCTATATATAATATATATATATTCTATATCTTCTATATATATATTCTATATCTTCTATCTTCTATAGTATACATTTTAAGGGTGACGTTAGAGAGCATTGGTGATGCAAAAGATGCGTGGACATGACTATCATGATGGCTGCTTGTCCCCGCAGCAGCAAACAGAACTAAATTGAGCATGGACAGTCTGAGATTTGAACCCGGGGCCTCCCGCATACTGAGCGGGTGTGATACCACTACACCAACTGCCCCTGACACCACGGTGCTCAATTTGTCTATGATCGAAACGGCGAGGTACAGTTGAGGCGTGCTGCTCCTGACAGTGCCAGATGAGGGCGAAAGGCGAGGCGCATTTTCAATGGAGTGAGCCACATTCGAGGCGTGGTGCATTTTCGCGCAAGCAAAGCAAAAATGCGCCGCACTTTGGCTATTGGTGATGCAAAAAGCTGCCTGGACATGATCATTATGATGACTGTTGGAGATGCAAAAGCTGCGTGGACATGATTATCATGAGGACTGCTGGTTATCATCTTCTATAGTGTATATTCTATCGTGCACATTCGATAGTGTATATATAGTGTATATGGTTTCGAGGCGTGGTGCATTTTCGCGCAAGCAAAGCAAAAATGCGCCGCACTTTGGCTATTGGTGATGCAAAAAGATGCGTGGACATGATCATTATGCTGACTGTTGGAGATGCAAAAGCTGCGTGGACATGATTATCATGAGGACTGCTGGTTATCATCTTCTATAGTGTATATTCTTTCGTGCACATTCTATAGTGTATAAATAGTGTATATGGTTAGCATCTTCTATTCTATATCTTCTCTTCTACTTCTATATCTATATCTATATATATCTATAGTATACATTCCAAGGGTGACGTTAGAGAGCATTGGTGATGCAAAAGATGCGTGGACATGACTATCATGATGGCTGCTCGTCCCCGCAGCAGCAAACAGAACTAAATTGAGCATGGACAGTCTGGGGATTGAACCCGGGGCCTCCCGCATGCTGAGCGGGTGTGATACCACTACACCAACTGCCCCTGACACCACGGTGCTGAATTTGTCTATGATTGCAAAGGCGAGGTACAGTTGAGGCGTGCTGGTCCTGACAGTGTCAGATGAATCGCGGCCCCGACTTGCGGCGAGAAGGGGTGACCGGTGATGAGCCTCTACTGCAAATGCAATGTCACGGCACCTGACTGCAGTACCTGTTGCACTTGGTTGGCAGTCACGGCTATTCCGGAGGATTTTTTTTACATGCGCAGCATCGAATCAAAACATCGCTCAGGGCACAATGCCAGCGCACTGCAGCGGGAGAACTCATTGCGGCGGCGCCTAGTTGCTTTTGCACTAAAGGACTAGAGCCACGTTTCTGCAGAAAGAGGACTACACAGCAATGCCAAGCATGCATCTACTTACAGTTAATGAACACTGCGCGAAAAGTAGGACAAGCTCACATACATGCTTCCGTGAAGGATAGTGCTTCACATCCTTCATAGTCTACTTAGCATCATAATCTACGTACAACATGCTTCCACGAAAGATAATGCTTTTTATCCTTCACAGTGTACTTGGCATCCTAATCTACTAAATAGAATAAGCTCACAAACATGTTTCCGCAAAGGATAGTGCTTCTTATCCTTCTTGGTGTATTTAATATCATAATCTGCTAAGAAAGACAAGCAATGTCACGGCACATGCTCGAAGCAGCAGTAGAATTGTCGGCACTTTATTAGATTAGTACAAAAATGCACGAAGCTAAGGATAGAAAAAGATCACTTCAGAATGGGCGCGCCTTCTATGGAAGCGTGCCAATCAAAGCGTATTATCATGATGACCGTTGAAATCACCAACCATTTCCGTCAATTCTTGTTCACACCTCATCCAATAAAAGCGGTGCATTTTCGCGCGAAAGCAAAGCAACAATGCACCGCATCCTGGCTACAATAGGGGACCCATCGCGGCCCCGCTGCGATGATACTTTCGAGGCGTGCTGCAGGATGATATGAGGATACTGGTCCTAACGAGGTACATTTTCAACGGGGTGAGGCATGTTTGAGCAAGCAATCTAGGCAAAATCTGCGGCAAGCAATCCAGGCAAAATCCGCATCAAGCAAACCGGGCAAAATCTGCGGCGAGCAGTACATTTAAAGTGTGCCTTAGAGAGTATTGGCGATGTAAAACATGCGTGATCGACACGGTGCTAATTAGAATATGTCCCTGCCGTCTGTCACGGATAGCTATTGGCGCCTTTGCTACAGTTGCTGCCACTGCTGCTGCTTGGTGGTGCTCCTCGCATTTCTCCTACCAGACGCCAAACCTCTGCTAGGATTCTCCGCTTTCGTTTCGCCCGTGTTCTTGCGAGTCGCTCTCGACTTCTTTCGGCCGCTCGCTTCAAGTCACGCTCCGCCAGACACATATCGCACGTTTGTTTGCCGTCCCGGACGCCGCGTCGCTTTCGCGCGTATCGCGAAAAGCATCGCTTTGGGTGTGAAGTGGCGCAGCTTGCGCATTTCCAATGGCCTCGTTCTTTCTTGCTGCATGTCTTGCACGCACGCCGGGGAAGATGTTTTGTGTGCCATGCAGCCGCGCTGAAGTCTGCTTCCTCCTTTACTTCTCCGCAGATAGTGCATCGTTTCGTGTCCTTGCAGTTGAGACACACACGTCGTAGTGCTGCTCCGTTGCTTCTCCATTTGCTATGGAAGGCGGCCGTGGGCAGCCAATTGTGGCAAACACAGCACTGCCACGGATGACCGCTCTGCTCGTGCCTGCCTACACATTCTTTACAGATGCGGCTTGTATCCTCGCGCTTCCATTGCCCCGCCGTGTAACCACGTGGCTCTTTGCATTCCCGGCACTCGCTGCATGGCTTCTCGATGATGTGCTCTTGTCGGATCTTCTCCCAGTCTATCGCCTCTCCTCTCCATACTCGAAGCAACAGGTTTCGCCCCACATC